CTGGCGTTCGAATCGAAACTCTTTAAACGCGCATCGCCACCGACCGCGCCGAGTTTAACGCGCGCCAATTGTGTCTTCAACAAATTTTGCTGTATGCTATGCAGTTGACGTGGCATATTGGTCATAAAACTTTTGGAGCGCTTAAGCGCAAAACGACATGGCGTCGGTTGCCGTGCCAGCGGCAGCAATGGAGCATTGTAATGCAAGTTTTTAACTAAATTGTTTCCCGCAATGCCGTTTAGACGTTGCTGAAGCAGTTGCTGGTACAATTGTGGTGGTGGCGGATGTGGCAGTGGTTGTATCTGTCCCAGTGGCGTGGGTGGCGGGGGCGGTGGCGTTAACGCATGACCATTCAGTTGACGCGCATTCGTTGTACCTAAAGCAAGTGATAGCCGCACACCGGCGTTACTACCCGATCCGGTTGGCCTTCCGATAACAACGGTGCGCTCATTTTGACGTCTAAGTGGCTTCGGTGAACTGACACCGTTAGCTAGCGTGGACGAATTTTGTTCACTTCTGCCGAATTCCGATTGCACGTCCGGTATGCGGCAAACTTCCGGCTGTGTCTCGGCGGGCGACGATGCAGGTAATATTGTCGTTAGTGCTGGTGTGGGTGTTGGTGGCGGTGGCGGTAGTGGTGGTGGTTCTTCTTTTGGTATGTGAAATATATTGATGAGATTATGTTGCAGCGACAACAGCCGCAGCTGTGTTTCGTATTCGAATATCGGTATTGCGCTCAGGCCGCGTCGATCATAATTAATGCGATCCGGTTGCTTTTCGCGGTCTTGTGCGGTGCGTGTTATGCGACAAATACCATTTGGCTGCAATGTGACAATAGCCGCCGTGCCGTTACTATTACAGTTTCCGTTACCATTTCCGCTAGCGCTGCTATTGCCACTCCCCTCCGCACATGTCGTTGCCGTCGGTGCCGTCGTGTGTTCGCCGTTCAACAACATATTCGGTGACAAATTGCGATACGCTGTTGCTGGTCGCCGATGCGTGGCAGAAGCAGAGGAGGATGTGGATTTCGAACGTTGGCGTTTGACCGTTGTACGCACCGGATTACGTCGCAAGCGTGCGGCGACTGCTGCACGCGTACTAGCAGCATTCGCTTTGGCAAGTTGACTATCAATTGCAGCGCCCAGCAGTGGGGAATTGAGTGCGGCAGCTGGAGTATTTGGGTTGGCTGCTATTTTACGTTTGTTGTTGTGGTTGTTGTTGCTACTACCAGCTGCCGCAGTCGTTGTTGTATTGCACAGTGTAGTATAGGAACGCCCAAAAGGACGACGCAGTCGTGTGGTGAGACTAGGAACAAATGGTTCAATTTTCAGCAGTGATGTTTGAGGTAAATAGGTTTGTGCGGCTTGTGGAAGTTGATTCGTTTGCTGTTGCTGTTGTTGTTGCTGTTGCTTCGAAGCTACTGTGGCCGCAGTAGCGGCAGCAACAACAGCCGCATTCGTTGCTGCAGCATTCAGTAGTTTTGTGGTCAGAGCGGGCGTTGTTGATTTGGCAGTTTTATGTACATCGACAACGGTGGCAGCAATGGCAGCACCACCACCACCGCCACCCACACCCCCACCAACTACATCCGTTGCACCTCCAGTGGGACTTTTCACATGCTCCTGCCGCGTCAGAACTGCTGGCCGGCTACGCAATTTCGATATGGACATGCTGTTATGCGTTTCCGTCTTCCTATGCACCTTTGTGTGATGCGTTGCTTTCCGCTTCGCCTTTGCGCCACCCTATTTGCAACGATCGCCGCAATATTTCTGCCGACGCAGCTCAGCCAATTCTTCATGATGATTCAGATAACGTGCGCATAGCTGGGACTTTGCTAATATTTAACTTGCATTTGGAGCTGTGTAGTTGATTTGCTTGTTGACGCGACGCTGTGTGTGGTGGCTAACTTTATGTCACTCGCGCTGAACTTGTTATTGCGCAACTTTGGCAACTACTTTGCTTACAGACAGTAATAACTTTGCAGCGTTCTGACAAACTTTCTGCAATAAAATTTTTTTTACAAAGTATTCGATTGGCATTTCTCGTTTGTCCCTACCTTGTGACCATACGCCGCTGTGCCTGCGCTCCCTCTTCATGCAGCACGCAGCTGACAATCGGAGTAAATTTTCAATTTAATATCCACAATCTCCGTTGGTATTTTGACTTTGTCTATAAACTTAAAATATATGTCTGTATGTATGTAGGTACTTTCGAAAATATCCGATATTTGAGCTGCCGTTTGAGCTCACTAGCTCTTGGCTCTTTACTGTTCAGCTGTGTTCCTGCAGTTCGTTTGTTATTTGACTCGCGGCAATTTCATTGCGTTTGCAAGTATTTTACGTTGTACTCACTTTCTTGACATGTTTTATTAGTTTGTTTATTGGGGTTATATGCGGTTGCTATAGTCAGTCTAACCAAATTCGATACGAATCCAAAAACTGCCATTCAACGCTGCTGATGAGCGCCCCTCAATCCCCAATGCGACGCCACTCGCACAAGGCAAAATGGTAAATCCATTTCATTTCGTATGCATATCCACGACAGTTTTCATCAAATTTCTCTAACGTTTTCATGTGAACATAAGAACATTGTCATGCACCAATCAATGTACTTGCGCTTGTACATACTTGCATACAACATACCTACATACATATGCACATGCGACATACCACGTTTTGGTTACTAAATACTTAACCTGAAGTTGTTGCGTTTGTTTATTGCAGTGGGCTATTCGCTCATAAGTGTGTTTGCAAGTATGCAAATATGTACATATGTATGTTATGTAGGTACATACAGTGACTCAAACAAATCACCACGTGTTGATTTTATTCAAATATTCGTAATGTTTATCGAGCTAAATTTTTATACCCGAGCGCACTTGTGCACAAGGGTATTATAACTTTGTTCACATAACGGTTGTTTGTAACAGGCAAAACGAATCGAGATAGATATAGACAAATGTATACATAAATGATCAGAATGAAAAGAGAAATCGATTAAGCGGTGACTGTCTGTCCGTCCGTCCGTCCGTCCGTCCGTCCGTCCGTCCGTCCGTCCGTCCGTCCGTCTGTGCACACGATAACTCGAGTAAAAATTGAGATATCTTAACGAAACTTGGTACGTGAACTTCTTTTGGGCGTGGGACGGATGGTATTGAAAATAGGCGAAATCAGATAATAACCACGCCTACCTCCCATATAACGGTAATTTTAAGAAATACGAAAACTGCGATATTTTAGTAACTACAGAAGATAATTCACTCAAAATTGATATTTGCAATGAGTTTTAGACGAGAAATAAGAATATTGCAAAATTTTGACAAATGGGCGTAGCCACGCCCACTTATGGTTACATGTGTATATCTTGGTAACCGCTACACCAATTTCTTCCAAACTTGGCACAGTTGTTGGTCCTGGTACAGTATACCAACTGGCCGAAAATTTCTAAAATCGGACAATAACCACGCCCACATCCCGTATAACGGTAATTTCGAGAAATACAAAATCTTCGATAAATTAGTAAATATTGAAGCTAATTTATTCAAAATTGATGATTGCAACAATTTTTTACCAAGAAATACGTTTATGACAAAATTTTGGAAAATGGGCGTAGCACCGCCCACTTGTGATCACATATATGTATCTCGCTAACCGTTCTAGCAATTTGTACCAAGCTCGGTATGGTTATT